TGCTGATTTCCAGCCTGCAAACATGTTTTGCTCGATACCTGGGACACTGCACTTAGTAATCCTCGAGATTAGTATCTGTCTCTGTTATAGTTAATGCAGACATGCATGTGTTGAACAAGAAAGGAATTGCTTGGCATGGCAATCTCTCTCCTTCAATACCTTGCTCTTAATTCTGATTCTTTCTTTTGTGTGGATGATACCTCTAGAGAGAGAGAAGAAAAAGAAGGCTGTGAGAATGTACATAGGTTAAAGCAATTAGAAATAAAAAATAGGAATAAATATAATCATAGATACAGGAGAGCTCCTAAGTGCCTACAAATAATTATTCCAGAGTTTAGTGGCAATTCTGCTTTACATCTTTGGGATACTTTACGAATCCCAGTCAATTCAAACCCACAGCATCCCTGTAAAGAACAAACCCGGTTTCTAGGTGGGGTAAGTCATAAACCAGGAGGCCTGACTAAAAGAAACGTGAGACGCGTGTGACCAGACAACCATCCTTCCTCCCCTTGGGAGCCCCGTTGGCAAAGGTTGGACAGAAGGAGTAATTAATACTGGCAATGAAAGGCAAATGAACTATTTCTGAGGAGGTGAAGGAAAAGGGAGAAGGTGACCTGGAGGTGCTGACTTCTTTCTGTGCCCCAGGATTCCTCCATGGGTCTCACCATCTAATGAGGAGTAAATAGGCATGTGGAGAGTTACTGAGGACAGAGCCATGAGGATGAAATGCTAATTGCAAAACCGAGCAAAGCGTTATGATTTTCCTATCCAGCCGCCTTTCTCAGGATGAGAGCAGCCATGAGCTGCTGGTAATGACGAGGTGAGATTTCTCTATTATTCCTTCAGAGCACAGGGCTGGGAGAGCACATGGAGTAATTAATTTTGACTTACAGAAGCTGCATTAAATTGGATAGAAATGGGTGAAAATAGGATTAGGAATGGAGTTTAGCCAAGAGCAAACAGAATTAAAAGTCTCTAAGAGCAGGTCAACACAGCTGATGCCATTGATGCAATGAAAGGAGACAGCTTGGGACATTTCTGAGGGGTAGCGTCACGTCAGAATTGTAACCTGCCCAGTACTCAACTAGGTAGGGGGAATTAAACCAAGAAAAAGTGATTTTTGCTGCTGTTGTTGTTGGGTTTCTGGCTGTTCTGTCTGGTCTGGGCCTTCTGGCTTCTAAAGCTTAATTTCAAAACAATTATGGAGAACAAGCAAGAGTCTCCATAAACCCCAATAAATATGCGCAGTGCTTTCAACACATGCACTGAAGTCTAATTAGTATGGGATTATGCTTGTCACAAATCATCAGAAATGGAAGAATCCTGAACATGAAAACCAACTCCTCTCCCTGAAAAGCCTTCTCACAAACCCCAGAGGCAAACCAGGCTCAGGACAGTTGCTTCCATCAGCCTGAGGCCATGTCTTCAATGTGTACATGACTCTGCTGTGTACACGACAGCTTCCATCCATTGTCTGAGGCCAGAAATACATGGACTGGAGGGCCTGGCTTAATCCAGCTTTGTTGTAAGAGGACAAGGACACTCTGCTCTGGCTGGGTTCGAGCTGGAAGTTTGTTTGACTTCTCTGACAGTTGGGAAAAGTCTTGAGTGTGTTTCCCACTGCTCTGCTTTATTCCAGTATAAATCCTGCAGACTACACTGGACCAGGTCCTGCTCTCCCTTACACTGTGTAATGCCATTGAGTTAGTCCTTGTTTAACCCAAAGTTGCTGATACCTAAATTTCATAGAATCCCAGCCTGGTTTGGGTTGGAAGGGACCTCAAAGCTCCTCCAGCTGCAACCCCTGCCACGGGCAGGGACCCCTTCCACCGGAGCAGCTTGCTCCAAGCCCCTGTGTCCAACCTGGCCTTGAACACTGCCAGGGATGGGGCAGCCACAGCTTCTCTGGGCACCCTGTGCCAGCGCCTCAGCACCCTCACAGGGAAGAGCTGCTGCCTAAGAGCTCATCTCAGTCTCCTGTCTGGCAGGTTAAAGCCATTCCCCTTGGCCTGTCCATACAGGCCCTTGTAAAGGAATATCTCTAAAAGATGAATGCCCAGCCTTTGTACAAGGCTTTCCAGCTTCACCCATGAAGTGCTTTGGCGAGCATTAGCTAGTGAACACAAACCTTTATATTTCCCTTTCCCCACGGCTTTATTAAACAGCCCATCGAGGGATGGTCACAGCCAGAGGGTTTGTCAGTGTGTACAGTGGCCACTGAAAGTCCCTTTTCATGTGGGAATCCAATTTCTGCAGCTACCAGGAGCTGCACATAAACATGGATTTCAGTTGTTTTCTCTGGGGTTTCCATGGTTGCTGGCACCGGTTTGTGTCCTTGTTCTAACGCAGATGCTCCACAAATGTGTTTTCTTTGGTCTGAGGTAGCAGAGAACATTGCCAGCAAGCCTCAGGAGCTGGCCAGTGCCCCACAGCCCTGGGAAGGGGCATCACCAGCCATGGGGGCTGCCCTGTCCTCCAGTGGCAACAGCTAACGGGATATTGATGCTCAGACATATACAAGAGCACGAGTGCAAAGTCAAGGCAATCAGTCCTGGCAAAACAAATGCACTTTAACCCCCTCTATGAAAGCCAGCTCCTTAAACACAGGACACGCAGAGCTCAGTGGGTTCCCAACCTCCCATTTCGGTGCCTTTTAATTGCCAGGATCTTTCCTTTCTCTCGTTACTGGATAATTCTGCAGGTGTTACATCACATCCCCGCTGGGAAGATCAAAGCCGAAGCGCTGGCAAGCTCAGCCCAACACAGATTCATTTCTGCCCTGACCCACCCAAGCAGCCATGCGTGCGGTGCGATGGAGACACAGTCTATGGGGCAGAGGGGCTCTGCAGGGACCCACGCGGACCCCCAAAACACCCAGGAGGTCCTTGGGGGTTGCTGTGGTGGGAGAGGGCGCACGGCTGAGGAGCGCTGGGGTCTGGTTCAGCTCTTCTTTGCTGGGTGTTTCGCACTGGTTCCTGTCAGGCAGGAGCAATGCCAGGTCTGGAGGCAGAGCACTGAGCTCTGTCTGCATTTGCTGCTCCAAGTGAGGGGCAGGATTGTGCCAAAACTGCGCAAAGAGTGGATGGAGGGGGGGGGAAACCCAGGGGCAGAGCCCTCCTCTGCCACTGAAGTCACTCAACCTGGTGATCTCCACACTCCACATATACAGCAGGAATGTCATGTACAACATGGATGTCACACACAGCAGGAATGTCCCATTCAGTGGGATGTTGTACACAACATGCATGTCACAGAGTGGGGTACCGTACACAGCCAGGATGTCATATCGGTTCCTGCACGCCATGGGATACGCTGCTGAGGCTGGATGCCTGGGAACGTGTTAATGGGCCAAATGATCCCCTATGCCCAAAGTAATTTCCAGCCCTAGAGTTCAAACCTCGCCTCCAGCCTTGCCTTTTGGAGGTGGCTGTTTCCAGACCTCACTGAGTTTGCTCTGTACCCTTGTGCTGAGGGGTTGGTGGGAGCATTGGCCTCTGGAACCACTCATTCCAGGCAGTTGGGGGTACAGTGACATGGGCTCATCCTTGGTTCCCAGCATCTTGGAGGCAAAGCAGGTCCCACCCCAGTATGACACAGTGGAACGAGCAAGGACTCGGTCACCGCTTTCTTTGTCAGCAATGCAAGGGGAGGAGGTTAATATGATTCTTTATCTTGACAGTGCCTCATTACTGTAAGTCAATTCAGATCTCTGCCAGGCCACTTTCCCTTCCTCTGTGCAGCGTTTTGCCTCCTCCCCCTTCCTCCTCAGAAGGTAACACTATCTCCTGCTTGGGCATGCATTCCTTTCTAATAAGGTATTATGCCTCTATTTATATGCATCTTAGGTGCAGTCTGAGGCAGCTGCTGCTCTCCAGGGCCCTGGGTGAGGAGCAGAAAATTGGATTCAGCCTGGAATGTGCGGGTGCAGTTGGACATCTGCACCCAGCCAGGGGCAGCCCTTCCCCTGTGAGGCTTTAACAGTGAGATGATGCTCCCTTTGCTCCGGGCTGGATGGGCAGGGTGGTCTCCTTGGGGTCCTACCAGCCTCAGGTGATCCGGATCTGTAGACCCAGGACTTTGGGAGTTCTGCTTGAGAAGGTGTTTGCAGAGACCTGGTGTGATGGACACGTGGACCAAAGGGTGACCGTGTAAGCACAGCAGGGTTGAGGCTCCCAGATTACTGCCCTGTGCAACGGATTCGGGCTGCTCCCAACTGGCTGTGCGTGGTTTGCATGGCAGATGTCTGGGCATCCCGCCTCTGCCTGCTTCCTGATATCACTCCCTAGCTCTGCCATCCAATCCCACCGTGACGAACACGACACAAGGACCCAGCTGGACTCAACTGAAATCGTGTGGTTCAGCATCCCTTTCTGGATTAAGCTATTAGGGACCAGACTGCTCAACTGCGCCAACTTTCCATAATGATTTTCAAAGCAATGAACCCTTTTCCTTGGAGCAGGGAAGGGGAGCTTGGTCCATCTTTAGGAGCAAGCAGCGCTCACAGGATGATACTGTGGCTCTGCATGGATGAGATACGTGACTGCTTTGCTGTTTGGCTTCTCCCCAAGCTAAAATCCCAACCTTTGGAAAGTCAGTGTGGCTTTTGCTGCTGTCCTTCATGAATGCCACCCTTCTACACAGCCCTTCTACAAAGGCTGTGCTTCACCTGAAACGTGACTTTTCCCTTTGAGCCAGCACATGATGAAACCTGTGGACATGGCCTTTCCCCTCCCGCACTGGAACGTGGTGCAGGGCTTCTGTGGGGGATCCAGTGGGAATTGCGAGCCCCACACCTGCACCCCAGCAGGTCAAGGCACGGGAGAGGCAGTGCCAGGGCTCATCAAGGAGCTAATTAATGGCCATGCTGCTGGTGTGGGAGCCCAGGGCTTCTCCTCCCTGGTGGCAAGAGGGCAGGGGGAGCAGGGCTCTGACATCAGCCCTTCCTCCCTGATTAGCTCTGTTCAGCTGCACTAATGAGCCTGAACTCTGAACCCCCCTGGGAGAGGGGGGGACCTGCCTCTCTCGGGCCTGATACTGGGGGGATCTGCCTGGGAATGGAGGCTGGGAAGCCTGCGTTTTCCTGCCTCGCTGTCTTTATGTGCGGTCGGGATCGTAACACAGCCCAGCTGGAGGAGCAGGGGGTCAGATTAACTGGTCACTGGCATACAGGCTCCAGCCTCCGCCAGGAACCAGCAGATAAGCCCCTATTAACCCTTTTGGCATCCAGGGCTCCCCCCGGCATGGCTTTGAGATGTTCCAGAGGAAGGAGGCAGTAAATTGAAGCTTGGAGATGACCTGGTGAGGGGATGTGCGACCCAACGGGGTGTGTGGATCTGTGCATCCTCTGACACAGCACTGCGATGCTGCTGCAGCTCCTCAGTGACACAGCTCCCACCCCAAGCTAATTCATAGGGGTGGCAATAACGGGTAGAGAGGGAATTGCGTGTTGAATTAAAGGTCTGTGGTGTTCAGGGCTGGTTTGCCACCCTGATACTGACAGAGGTGCTCTGGCTCTTTCTGAAATGGCAAAGAAAATACCTCCGTGTTCACTGTGGTCCTTCCAAATCCCCATTTCCAGCACATTTTTCCTCAATACTGACTTTCAGGAGCACGTCTATTTTCAAAGGGATTAGTTTACAAACAGCTCAAAGCGCTGGTTTAGTGTGATAAATAAGGTGCAGCTTAGCAATGACCCCAATCTTCTCATCTTCCCAGGAATGGAGACTGTCTTCAGTGCCCATCAGCCGATTCAAACATTCCTGGTGCCAGAGGAACAAGGATCGGTGCCTGCCTTTTGTCCTTGTCCTCTCTGCAAGCTGCAGACACCAGTAGGAGCAAGCAGGGAATTACTTAGGTGTGCTGTGGATTCTCTGCCACTTGAAGACTTTAACCCCAGGAGTTTTTCCCAAGGATCTGCTATGGCTCACACAGGGCTCCTAAGCTCGGTGTGGAAAGGTATGTCCTGTATTACGTGTGAAGTCAGACTTGATGATCATAATGGCTCTGTCTGGCTGGAAGAGAATAACGTCCCATGTGGGTTTCCCTTCTCTTTCATGTAGGAATATTCTCAAGGAAGGCTCGCAGTGGAGGTGAAATGGCAGCTCAACACTGAAGCAACAAGCTGAGGCTGCAGGGAATGGCTCAGGGGGAAAATCAAAGGGAAGATGTCTTTGTTACCAACCCAGCTGCAACTTCCTGCTCTGGCTAGAAAATACCCTAGGAGGTGACTGTTAGTGGATCGCATGCCTTTGCCTTGCCTCGCTTCCCCATAATAAGTGAATAATGAACTTGTAGGACAAGGGAAAGGTGGAATTCCCAGAAATTATCATCCTGAGGTGAGCACAAAGAGAGGCTCTGTCTTCACCCATCGGATCCCTATAAACAGATAGAGATTGTCACTGAAGGAGAGGGCTTTCCTCCACTAAGCACAAGCTAGAAACAAGTACTTTTGATGTAGTGGCACTCCTGTCAACTTAGAGTCATGCCTTTGAATGCAGGGGGTGGATCTAGCATTCCAGCCAGGGTCAATGGCAGGTTTCCATCAGGGTTGTATCCTCCATAGTTCTCTTTTTGTCCCCCCAGCCTTTAGTCCTGATGATGTTCCAAGGCTCTTTTTCCCCTTAGGGTTTTTGACCTATGTGGTGTGGATCTTGCAGCTCTTGCAGTGGTGATTTTGCATTGTGGCTTTTGGGATGAGGAGAGCTGGTCACCCTGCTCTGGCTTATTCATTTACATCAACTGGGGTGTTTTCCTAACTGAGGAGTCAAATGAGCTCTGCTGTCATGTTGTGCATCTCATATCAGAAATGTAATTTTTTATGGTGAAAAATGGGATAATAGGACCCGGCATTTTGGATGGGCTGGTGTGAACACAACTGGTGTTTTGGCAAGCAGCTCAGTGGGTACGACTGATGTGTTCTACAACACTGGGAGAGCAACGGCGACATTTTAGTACAAGCCACCATTTTCCAGCAAAGCACTGGCATTCTGGAAGGGAAATGCCTTCTCTTTCAGAAGCTGAATTGTTCAGGTGCAGTGACAGAAGTGCAAGCAAAAAGCAGGTTACTTACATCGGGCTTCGTTGGTGGAGGTACAAGACTATTTGCTATTAGGCCTTTCAAAACCACTGTCTATGTCGGGGTGGGTGTGAAATGAGGAACCTGAGGGACGAAGCCAGCGGTGGCTCACCTGGATAAGGAAGCTGGATTCCATTGGCTTGTGGAACTTGCCTGAGGTATGATGCTACTCAGTCTTCTGATTAATGATGAGGATACCCTGAGTGTATGATTGTTAAATTGGCACTTGATCCTGGTGCTGGAGGGTCTGTCTTGTACTGGGTGCCAGGTTGGAACTTCGAACAGGACTGAGTGAATGACCCACAAACTAGAATGTGCTGAGGAGCGAGCATGAGGTATTGCAGGAAAAACCCATGGGCAATTGGAAAGGATGCAAAACCAACCAGACAGGCAGGGGTTCTGCAGAAAACAGATTATTACAGGCCACAAGCTGAGCATCAATCAACAGCTTGATGGAGAAAGCAAAGGGATGACGTGTGTTTGGCCTCCAGAAGAGAGAACTGGAGAAGCAGATGAGAGCACTCTTCAAAACCCTTCTGTAGGGGAGGGCATGGTCGGTTCTTCACATGGGTGGTGGAGAAGAGAGTGCTTAAATGTCAGTAAAGAGGTTCAGACTGGATTTTGCTGAAAGCTGCTATGGGAGAAGGATAGTAAAGCAATGTCACAGATCTCCCACCAGGGTTTGTCTGCTTTAAGAGCAGAAAGAACAGAGGAGAAGCTGACCCTACCCGCACAGAGAGCAGCATGAGCACTCTCCATCAGCCTGGTAGGAGCTTTGTTTTCATGGGGCTGATGAGTTGCACTCAAAGGGCTCAGCGGAAACCTCGGCTCCATTCCTCTGGGATAGAAACAGTTTATTCTTGCAACCAGGTATTTGTTAATCACCTTCCGCACGGCTGTGCCGCCTTTTGCTGTGCTGTGATTATGTTACCCGGTGAAAAAGGAGCTGCGGTAACAAGCCAGAGCACAGGGAGCAGAGGAAGGCTAATGTTTCAGTGTGCTTGTGTGCTATGCTCAATCCTCTTCTCCTAAATCCTCTTAACCTCTGTGGGTTTCTTTTCAATCACCTGTGTTTGAATCGAACTTTACTAACAAGGCCAAAACCCGAGCAACAGAAAGCATCTTCTTCTACCTGCAAGCTAACTAACCCACTAAAACTTTTATGAATAGACTAAAGGCTGATCATTTGAGCTAAAAGTTGCTGCTCTCGTTCTTGCCCCGTGTATTGTCTAGTTGTGCATTGTAATTTTAGGCTTTGCTCGAGGTACTCATCTTTTAAGATGACTGTGACCAAGTAATCAAGGCTGTCATCACAGCAGAACCTGGCACTAGAGTCTAAAATCTCCCCAGTGGTCTTTTTCATTTCCTGGCTCAGCATCAGGGGAACAGATTATGTGATCTGATAGGTAAAATTATCCCATCAGAGGTGAATGTCCTAATAAAAGGCTTTTGCAGGCCTGGGTCTGTGATATCCCTGAGAAGGGTACATTCATTTGGAGCCCTTTATTGAAGGGAATGCTCAGTCCCTACGGAAACCCAGCGGGACAAAAGGCGATTCTAGCTGCTAGAACACACACACAGGTCAAGGATACAAAACTGCTGCATTTCCTTGATCGAAGGAGAGAGGGGGAAAAGGAACAACAGGAAAACACCCCAGCGTTGGATGTTTGGCTCAAAACTGAGAGTTGCGTTTTCCCACCTGGTTAAACTTTGGGGTGACAAGCACTACTTGGCCTGTCTGTACAGACTTAATCTAGAAGGCTTAATAGGTGTTTGGGGGGAAACTTGATTGGGTTCAATGAATATGCAGAATGAAACATGGAAATCTTTCTGGGTGACCTTCTCCAAGACCTCTTCCCATTTCCCTCACTGTTTGGTCAGCTGCTTTCTCTTGAAAGTGTGTTGAAAGGAGCTCTGGAAAAAGTGGGCAAAAAAAGCTTTCTGAGATGTGCTTTCAGCGATGCCAAATAGTCAGCGAGGATGAGGAAGGTGGCCTCCTGGGGACTGCCCTTTCTCTGAAAGGTCCTGCCCAAAAGCTGGTGGGACACGATGCACAGAGCATCTCCTGGCTGCTGGCTGAGCTCTCTGCTTGGGAGTTTCAGCAATTGAAGGAAGAAATGAGGATGTGTCCCTCTATCACCCTGGGGGATTTTGGGGCAGGAGGAGAGCAAAGGGGAGAAGCAGCTCGGTGTTTGTACTGTTAGGAGTGGCTTAAAGGGATGCGGATGCTGGTCCGAGGGAGGTGAAGGCAAACAGGGAGATGTGGTGTATCACCTGGGTGGTGACGTGGTGAGTGAGCTGGGCCCTTTGTAACCCTGCCTCAGTGGTGTTTCCACACCAAGCCATACAGTTCACTTCATCACCCCAAATCCCCCCACTTCCCACCACAGAGCACCCTCTACAATGGTTGGGAATTGTTTCTGCTTCTTGGTAAGGGTAGGGGAGATAGAGGCAAGCACGTTGCACATCTGAAAAGTGTGTTTTCAATTAAAAGAAGAAAAAGAGCTCCAAAACACACAGTGGGTTAAATGTTACAGTAAAAAGCATTCAAGCTGCTCTTCCAGTGCAAAGTAACCAACAGTTTATGTGTGTGATTGCAGGCAGGTGGTTCCTGTTCCTATTAAAAATGAGTAATTCAAGCTCTCAGAGGATTTCTTCAGAGACAATCTGGACAGACCTGGAAGTCCGATGTGCCTTTTAAACCGTAAGTGTTTCCCTTCTGCATCCCAGAATCCTCCTTCCCAAGCACTTTTAAGGAGCTCTTGGCCAGCGGGTCAGGATCATCTCCCTGTGTTCAGGGAGGGGAAAACCTTTTACCGTAAATTGAGATATTTCCCTGCAGCCTTCAGGGAAGTCCAAACCGAAGCTCCTCACTGATGGTGGGTGGGAAACAGTCAGTCTTGCCCACCCATTTCCCACTCCCTTTGTCCTCGGGGCTCTGCTCTGATGGGATGACACCACCACCCCATCCCAGCCTCCCTGGGGTCATGCTTCCAGCTCACTTGTAGCTGTGCTGGGTTGGGTTCTGCTCAGGCCTGGATGAAATAACCCGGTGTGCCCCAGCATGGGCTGTTCATTGCTCATGGTGCTGCCTTATGTTGGAGCAGGGACTCTTGACGCTGTTAGCGTGCTGCTGGTACCTAAGGAGGTTATACCACAGATATGTAACAAACCACTGCTGCGCTTCAGTTTCCAGTGAGAGCAGCCTCTGCTTGTGTATGGGTACCTTGGTTATCCCCGTGGCTTTTTCACTCCCAGCACCGGCTTCCTGCCTCGCTCACCTTATGCCACAGTCCCGCTTTCAGTCATTGTCCCAGCAATTACGACGTGCATCTCCTGCTGGCTTTGCTTAATCAGCAAATCCCCTTAACAAATGGTTTCCCTTAATGCCGTGATGCAGTCAGCCCCTTTCTGTGCTGTGTGATTACGAATCCACCCAAGGCTTGCAGCAGGTTCTTGCTCAGTGGGATGGGTTTGTTTGGACAAGGGCTGCTCCTCAGGTGCCCTCTGTTGTTGCTCTTTGCTCTAGGAACACCTGATCCCTTTTGAAGGCATCGTGGCTTCAGCTTCCCTGCGCTTTGGGCTATAGCTGTTTGGAGATTCCCATCACCAAAGCTCCATCCAGCCCCAATCCCTATTGCACAAAGGAGAAAGCAACTTTAATAATATTTGAGAAGAAGGCCCGAAGGCTGCACTGCAGTTTAACTTGATCACCCGGGGGAATAAAAGAATACCACATGCAGAGATCTTTTACTTAACATTGCGATGTTTAATCTTGCCCAGTCAGCAGTTTTTGAACATATTCCAGGAAAGCTTTTAAGCCCGATAAAGCCGGGGCTTTTGCATTTTCAAGTGATACTTTAGCTACAAATGACATGCTCTACTTGTCATTTGGCTTTAAAGGAAGGTAATTAAAATCTTCCTAAGAGTACAGTTACACCGGGGAACGAAAGAAACAGAAACTAAAATGAAGAAGAGCGGGACAAGCCCACAAAAATGCAATTTAGCAGATGTGAAATGTAAAGGAAAACTGTTAAAAGATAGAAGTATCAAATGCACAATAGCTGTTTGCCGAAGGAGGACTAATGATATGGGAGGTACTAAGACTTACACTCAAAAGCATGGGCAAGGCTAGGGAATTTCCAGCATATATTTGCAGGTTTTAAGGCCACTGGAAGCCACAAGAAACAGCAACTGCCTATCGCAGTCCTGGCTGCAAAAGGCATCCTCTGTTATGCAAGGTGTGAAGAGAAGGTGAAAGACAAACCCAGCTGTGAGCCCGCACCCAAAGCCAAAGCTGGGTGGGTGCAAGTGAAGCTTCTCAACAAGACTTCAGGGGGCAATCACCCCCTATGATGGTGACATGAAACATATCAGATGGAGTTCAAAGGCATCA